GGGGGGGGGGGGTGTCGGCCGCAGGTGGGGGAGGGAGGAGAGGAGAGAGGAGGGCAGGGGGACAAAAGCGGCACAAAACCCAAAATGAGCACGGAGGAGGTTTGAGCGCAAGAACCAAGCAGCAATTAACACCGAGCGCGCGACAACGAGGTTACAACGAAAGGCAACGGAGCGATAGGTGTGTGCACATCAGAGGGCCCCAGTGCTGCTACGGGGAGCGCTCCAACTCGGGGTGAAGCATCGCCGACCGCGCGCCAAAGGGCCCAGAATAACCTATGGAGAGTCCTGTGCTGCACGGGGTTGGGGCTGCGGGGTGCGTACCTCCCACTGTTAGCACTCTCAGTCGCTCCTTGAACACTGCGAGGTCTGGGGTGGGCGGGGGGTGCAGAGGGAGAAGATAGAGAGACGCAGTCAGAGTTAGTAAAGGAAAAAAACCGCGAGGAGAACAGCCATGGAAAAACACGAGTCTAAAAAAATGACACAGAAAACAATTCAGAGTGGGAAGCGCTGGAGGCAAGGAGGGGTGGGGTGGGGGGAGGATGGCTGCGCTACGTGGCAAAGGGGTCCTGGTGGCAAATGTGCTGGGGAGGGAGGGAGGGGGCATCAGACACTGGGCAGCAGTTGGGCTGCATGGGTTGAGGTCTCCTCTGGTGCGCAGCGCCTCAGCTGCAGGCTGCAGAACGGCCCCAAGGGGAGCAGAGGCTTTGTGGGCACAGCTGGTGCCTGCCAAAGGCTCCTTCTGTGACAGACCGACAGCGGGAGCGCTCCATCACCCAGGCAGGAACCGGGCTGGGCACAGTGAGGGGTTCCCTGCATGGGATGCTGCACTCCTGCACTAAGCCAGAGGTCGCCCTGCCGTACCCACAGACAACTTCCAAAGCCAGCAGCGGGGAGCTGCTGGACAAAAGGCAGCTGAGACAAAAGCTCAGCTTCAGAGACGAGGCACGCAGCTCCTCAGATGTGCCCACTCAGAGCAGAAGCTGCTCGCAGCGCAGCTCACGGCGCGACAGCTGACCTTTAAGGATTTCAATGCACAGAAATAGGAAACAAAAGATTGTTTCCAGGGCAAGTCTAACAAACACTCCTCTTATTAACTGCTCTGCAAATTAACTGCAGCCCAAGTGTTAGGAAAGACTCTTTCCAAGCTAAAAGCCAGCAGGATTTGCTTAGAAACTGGCTTTCTCTACAAACAACAGGGCTACAGTGGATCTTCGGCACTGGCCAGAAAATCTGCCCTTGTCCTCCTGACAGCCCCCAGCCATGAGGCCGGGCTGCAGGCAGGCAATATCCTGGAGCACTGAGCCATGGGATCCCAGCGTGGTTGGACTGGAAGGGACCTCAGGCTGCCAGGGCTGCATCCACAGCCTCGGGCACCTCCAGGGCTGGGGCACCCATGGCTCTGGGCAGCAGCAACAGCCTCTGGTGGAAGGATTTTCCCCTCACCCTGACCTACACCTGCAGCACGCCGGCTGCAGCCCCCCACCATCCCCCTTCAAACCCATCTCTCTCCATGCCAGATGTGCTGCAGCCCCTCACAGCACCGCCTCTCCAACCACCTCCCGCAGCCCCTCTTGGGCTGCCAGTGGGAAACATCACCCCTCAGTGCCACAGGGACCTGGGATGTGACACGGTGTGCATCCTGCCCCGTGCAGCTCATCCACTGCCCCCTCTGTGAGGACAGCGCGGCGTGGGGAAGCTCCCACGTGGGAAGGCAGCTCTGCTGGCTCGGCAGCGATGAGGCCGTTGCCAATTAAGGAAGAAGTGCTGCATGGAGCCATGTGGGATTGCTGCTGGGCTGGGCTTGGCTGCACACTGCAAGCAGGAGATGGCAGCTCTCCTCCCAGCCGCCGCGTCTCCGCGCTGCCCTGCTCAGCACGAGCAGTTTTATTTCAGGATCCACGGGATGAGGTTTTGCAGCTGGTTCTCCTGAAGGGACACGCGGCCTCCTGCACTCACACATGGCTGCGGCAGCCGATGCAACCCAGCCCTGGTGCAAACCATCAGCTGGTAGCAGCGGCACGGCTCGCTCCCTGCTCTCATTATGCACTCCTGCTAATTAAATCGACACTGGGAGCCACGGAGCCAAGTCTCAGTGAGAACACTGCAAAGCCCTGACGGCAACCACCCGGCTGCGGCCCAGGGGTCAGGGCTGACCCAGGCAATGCAGCACCCAGCCACGCAGGGAGCATCCTGAGGACCGCTCCTCCATCCCATCCCTGCAGCACGATGCTCGGTGCGGTCGCCCACCCACCCATCAGACAGACAGACACACAGACAGAATTCAGATCGGCAGCTGTGCGAGGTTAGTGATCATCGCTGCGCTCTACTCTAGGTTAGGAGCATGCCTTGCAGCAAAGGGCCGGCCCTGAGGCAGCGGCGGGGTGAAGGAGCTTGCTGCTGCTGTGCTGGGAGCACGGTGCCTTAGGGCTTCGCCCCCCTGTGTGCCACTCACGCATGCATCCCTCGCTCCAAAGCAGGGGAACTTCCACCCCTACCCAGGTGGGAGAGCATCCCAGGGCTTCCTTGGCACAAGGGCAGAGCTCAGGGCTCAGCGTGGGGAGCGGCGACGGCCAGGGGGGGGCAGAGCTGCTCCGCCGCCGCTGCGCTCCCCAAACTGATCTGCAGCCATCGTTAGCGAGGAAACTCCAGACCTTTCCCCTGCACTGGTGAAGCGCTCTACCTACAAAGCTGTGAGAGAGAGAGGAGCTCAAGCAATGCAGCACTGACTGCTCTCAAAGCCCTCACCCAGTTTGTCTGTGGATGTGATAATATCGGCTGGAACGGATGAGTCCAGATCCGCATCCAGGATGCCCAGGGGGTCGAGTTGTGCTACATGATGCCCTCGAATCTATGAAATGGGCCGGGAACGGAGGGGAGAACAGGTACCAAGAGGGAGAGGGGAGAGGGAGAAAAACAAAAGAGGGGAGGGGTAAAAAAGTTAAATTACATTCGAATTAATTTGCAGAGTAATTCTCACCGACGTTTGGAGAAACAGTTACAGGCGCATCATCAAAATTTACACAACTAATGCCGAGAGGATCGAGCTTTGCAATGTGATGGCCCCTGACCTGGAAGCAACAATACAGATTAGTCATTAAGATGAACTCATTGAAGAGATGTTCCTTAAAATAATAACCAAAACAACACAACCTCATGCAGGTTCCCTCCTCACGTCACCCGCAGAGCCGGCCAGGAGGGTCCCAGCCCCACTCCGTGGCTCTGAAGCCTGGAGCAGCTCCTAGCACAGAACTGGGAAGGGCAGCACTGCACCACTGCCCCCCACTTACCTGTGCCTCCCCACAGAGCTCAGCAGCCAGAGCTGCTCTCTTCAGCCTGAAAGTCCTCCTTGCTGCCCCTGGCACCGCTGAGACTTTCCTTCCCACACTCACTGATGTCCAGTGCTTACTGCTTTTCTTTTTAGTCCACACTGCTCTTGTTTTGAACACTCATGGCTTTGATTTCCAGTACTCAGGGCTGCCCTCCGGATCCATGATGCCCACACGAGTTGTGTTAAGGGCTGCCCCAAAATGGATGAAAAGGGAATGAAGGGCTATCCCGAATCTCAGGGCCAGCAGTTCCAGGGCTCAGTGGCCGCAGTGCCCTCCCACGTTGGGTTCCTCCATCCACAGCTCAGCTCGGGTACAGCGGGAACAAGGAGGGGGTCTTCTCCCGTGCTTTTCTTCCTCTTTCTTCCACCCTCCCCCCCACAGAACCCCAAGACAGCAGTGGCAGCAGTCCCACCACGCGGGTGCCACGGCCTCCTCCGCCGCAGGGATGCAGAGGCAGATTGTTTTCCCCAGTCCTAACAAGACCACGGTGGTCATTTAAAGGAAATAATGAGCTGGGCTCCCAAGCACTGCCACAGGGGAGGAACAGACCGGTGCTGGTGCCACCAGGAGCCAGCACAGGGCAGGACACCTCTCGCCTTTCCTTACAGGGCCTCTCCAGCTCGATCTGGTTTGGGAAATTAATTGCCTGCTGGTTAAATAGGTCACATACCACAGGTGGGGCTGCCGGCACTCACCCACCTGCACGCCTCCCCGCCTGGAACCTCCCCACTACGGCTGCAGCTTTCTCAATCCACGTCGGAGAAAGCAGGTCAAGAGCAACAACCCCTCAGCACGGCTGCTGCGGAGGCTGAGACAGCAGAGAGAGCGCAGAGGGCTTTGTGTGCACATCGCTGCTTTGGAGGTGCCTGCCTCCAACAGCGCAGCATTCGGAAGCCAGCAGGACAAGGAGCCAGCAATAGCTGCCGTGCTATCAGCACAGTGCAGGGAGCTCACAAACAGCCCAGCAGGAGCAGTGCAGTGCCCCAGAGGTGAGCACAGCTGGGCAAACCAACAGGGAAAGAACGATGGAAAGAATGATGGCCACAGGAATGCATCTCAGTGTTCTCCTGAGCTGAAACACCAGCCCTGAGTGCGTGCTGCAGAGGTTTCCTTTCTGCTAGGAACTCATTTCTCCCCAGAGGTTGATTTTGGCAGCGTGGCTCTGAGCTTCAGTGTGGCAGCACCACGGCCCTCATCCATTTGCAAAGAGCAAAGCAATGTTTCCTGAAGTGCTGTCAATCCTCTCCTTCAAAGCACGGGAAGCAGCACGGCTGTCCTATGCTACTCCTGAGCAAGAGGAGGTGGAGGCAGAGCCTGGAGCTCCCATGCAGCACTCACACCCAACCCACCCACCTGGGAACGGCCCCATCCCTGCTGCTCCTGGCCTGGGCTGAGAGCAAACCACGCTGCAGCAATGGCCCTGGTGGGGTGGCAGTGGCTTTAAGCTTCCTACTGTCCAGCAGTGTTACACGGCAGTGGAGCTGCTGGGACAATGTGGTCGCCGGTGCAACGCTGTGTTCTTACCTGATATGCCCTGATAAGAGATTGCACTGCCAGATGGTCTTCCACCAGCTTGTCTACATTGGGCTGTGCCTGAACCAGGAACTGTGCTTGGGACAGCGTGGAAAGGCTGGAGCTCAGCGGAGGGGGGCTTTGGTAAGCAGTGCCTGGAGCTGCTCCGGCGTTGGCGTTGCGAAAGAAGATGTCCCATGACTGGAGGGAAAAAAAGGCACAGATCAGCAGGTGCAACCAAACGTCCCCAGTGCAAAGCTCCTGGCGTGGAGCAGCCAGGATGGAGACGGGAGCCCACAGGTACCCTGCTGCCTGCCTAGGGAAAACACAACCAGGTGCAGGAGCGGAAGGAAAAGTCCTTTTTGTAGCGTGCACCAAAACCACGGGGGTGACTCTGCCCCAAGCGCTTTGATTTGGACTTTTAGAGACCGCTGACAAAAAGGTGAAGCTGCACGCAGATGAAGGATTCAAGCTCTTTCAGGTTATGCAGCCCTCTGCTTCCCACCCAGGTCTCCCCCTCACTTTCCCCCACCTCCCAGCACTGCTGATGCCCCACGTCCCACCCAGCCCCACCACGCTGCCCCACGGCGGCAGCAGCACTGCTGCTCTCAGCCCCTCACCAGGGCTTGGAGGGCCCAACTCCCAGCACAGGGCACCCTCCACTCATGGGTTTTCTTTACTGTTCCTTTCCAATCCCTTTCTCATTCATTTCTCATTCCTTTCCCTTTCCCACCCCCTTCCTTTCCCCTTCCCCTTCCTATTCCCTTCCTCTCCCTTTCTTATTCTCTTCCTTTCCCTTTCCCCTTCCATCCCCCTTCTTTTTCCACCCCTTCCCATTCCCTTTCTTTACCCTTTGTATTCTTTTCCCTTTACTGTTCTTTCCCACTTCCTTTCACCCTCCTATTCCTCTTCCTTTCCCATTCCCATTCCCCTCCTACCCCATTCTGTTCTCCCCCAGGCCCAGCCAACACATCCCACAGCCACCTAGACACCCACAACCACAGAGATGAGCGCAGACACCAGCTCTTCTGCTTGCGACAGAATACAGGTGAGGGTGGCCAAATCACAGCTAACAGAGACTTCAGTGTGGGGCTGGGGCAGAAGGTGGGTTTTCCCCCTGGTACCTGGAACCAGGAGCTGCAGCCTAACCTTTGCAGGCAGCTCCGGGCACACAGCAGTGATCCAGCCTGCATGCCCCAGCTATTTCCAGCCTCCCCAACTCACACGGACGCCCAGCACGTGGTTGCACAGAGTGAACAGATTTAGAAGCAGGTCACGCTGGAGGAACATAAATAAAATCTGGAAAAACCTGGAGCTGTAACTGATATCCATGCAGCTGATTTCCCTCGACGGCAAGAATAATAAAGAAACAAACTAAACAAACTAAACCCAGCACCTGACCGTGCTGCCATTGTTTCCTGCTGAGGGGGGAGGGCTGCCTGCAGCTCCCAAAGCGATGCCACCATCCTGTCCCCTCCTGCCCTAAGCTGCTGCCTCCAATTCTGGCTGCTGCAGAGCAGGACTGAGACTCACCGCTCTGTTTTTCCAGTCCATTACCCAGCCTTCACCGTCCAAAGACGTGCAAGGGAATGCAGCAGCTGCTCCCAACGAGGGGGAGAGAGATGGAGGTTTGCTCTCTGCTGCCAGCAGGGCTGGCCCCCACATGGCTCCCAGCATCCTGCATTGCCCTGCGAACGCCGCTGCGTCGCCCCACGGCCAAGCCTTGATGCAAGAAGACTTCAGAGCTCACACACTGAACCAGGCTCATCTTCCATCCACCCTTGAGGCTTTTGAGGATGGTGCAAGGATTCCTGGGTTGAAGCAGCCTGGGATGGCTCCTGCAGGGCACACTTTGCACCCCAGCACCAAATGCAGCACGAGAAAGGAATTATGGTGATGAGCACAGGGGTGTGGAGCAGCACAGCCCTACTGCTTCCCCACTGCTGAGGGTCAGCGGAAGATGGGGCACAGCAGGACCAAGTGGGGCACTGCAGGAGGAATGGGACTAAGCAGCAGCACCCCAAAACCACACATCTTTTCCTTCCCCGCAGTCACTTTTCACCTGGAATCACACCCAAACCTCTGCACCCGGGGAGCTGCTGCCTTCGTGACCTCAAACCTTTGCCTCTCGCACTTTGCTTCAGGTCTGAAAGGAAAAGCTCAGCTGTGAGCTCTCCAAGCAGGGCGCGGTGCAGCGCAATCAGACTTTCACTGAACGCCTCATTGCCCAACGTCATGGCAGGGCTGCAGGCCAGGCCCCCAGTGAAAGCAAAACGCAGGAAGAATGAGGGCAGGCCAAGGCCTGCTAAAGGCATGGGGAACCACGGACCACCCTGCTCAACAGACTGCTCTGGGGCGTGCTCTGAAGCAGACATAAGCTCTGCAGCAGCCACACAACCACCAGGGACAGCCAGGACCTCATCGGGGCACGCGCTTGGGAAGGCTGAAGTAGCACTGATATCAGCAAGAGCCACAAAGAAAGGGTTGTTTGGGCCCAAAAGAAGAGCCAGGAAACTACAGGACTGCAATTCCCGGGGAAGGAATGGGACTGGTCCTCCCAGAAACTCTGACAGACCAAACATCGCAGGCGACGGGAAAAGCCGGTGCCAGTTTACCAAAGGCAAGTCGTGCCAGACCAGCCCTTCTCCAACAAGATAACGGTGTCCCTCCACAGGGGGAGAGCCCTGGGTGCTCCCTGCCTGCACTTGTGCACAGCATGTGATGCTGTTCCCAAAGCCTTTCCTGAACACATCGATCCGGCACCGGCAGAAGGAGCAGACCACACCGAGCACTGCCTGGTGGGCAGGGGCAAAGCTGGACCCACATCAGCGTGGATGTGTTCATGGGCTGCTGGATGACCCTTCCATACTCCAGCCCTACAGCAAGCAGTATGTCACCACTCCTTCTGGGAGCAGCAATGGGAAGGGGCCGGCAGCAGGAAGGCTCCCAGCAGCCACCAGCATTGGGAACAATTCCCCCCCCACCCTCACCTCCTCCCTCCCCAGCTGAGCTCCTGTTTGCTCATCTTACTGCAGCAAAGCTCTCTAATGGGAAACTGGAATTCAGATGAAGGCCAGAAAGAGGAAAAAAGCTTAAAATAATTAAACAAACAAAACAAAAAAAACCCTCCTTCCTCAAATGAGACGAGTGCATGAACACATTCTGCAGTCACAGCAATCAATCCGGATGGAGGAAGTGAGCTTGCCCTGCGCGGCGCCCGGAGGCACGCAGGGATGGGATGGGATGGCAGGGAGGTTTCTGGTGAGCCAAGCTCAAAAATCCCAGCTCCTCCCCGGGACAGGCGTGGGGTTTCTGCTATCTGCAGAGATAAGCTGGGGCTGCTGGGTTCGGACGCCGCACCCTCCCTGCTATCAGCTCGGGACACGCCGGTGCCTCCCTGGCAGCACAGTTTCCCTCTGAGGTCCTGGGGCAAGGTATGAAGTCCCCAAGGGGATCCGACGACCTCGTGCCAGGGGATTTATGCAGGGATCGGCAGCACAGCAGCATGGCGCGGCTGCGGCTGGAAGCATCTCCAGGCCCCTCAGATCCCATCCGGATCCCAGCTGGCACCCAGAGCTGGTTTGGAGATGTCCTGCAGCCACAGGTCCCCTCAGCATCCACACAGCATGCAGGGCTGACCCAAACCAGCAGCACGGGCCCCGTGGCTGCTGCAAGGGATCCCAATGGCAGCACCAAAACACAATGGGATTCACCCAGGGCAGAGACAGGGCAAAGCCACGGAGCAAAGCCACAGAGCCACGTTTGTACACAAGTGATGGCAAAGCGCACTGCAAACCTCGGTCAGTGGGACTGAGCTGCAGCCCCAGGGCTCCTGAGATGCTCAGAAATGCTCTAAGCAACACTCAGCCTGCAGACTGGCACAGGGCCCTGGGCGCACCGCTGGCTGCGGGAGAAGGGAACACAGTGAATTGGGTGATGAGAACTAGGCTTTGACCCTGCCTTAGGGCTTCTGTAGCAGCAAGCAGCCTACAGGCTGTGGTTTGGACACGTGGGGTCAATGCCTCTGAAAACAGCTCACTGCTGACACAAGAGCATGAGATTCCTTCCACATCCCCTGAGCCCTGTGCGATAGCTGCACGCTGCTCCACAGCTGCTGAATGAGAACTGCCCTGGGAGCACCGCCAGAATATGCATGAAACCCTCCTACAAATGATGTGGGTAACGCTGAAACTCGTTCCCTGCAGTCACACTTCCTTTGTGAAACGCTGGGGGAAAAACACCGTGGGGTTCTCAGAAATCCCCCGGCCATCCAGGAGCAAACCCCGCAGCCCTGCCTCGTGCTGCAGTGATGCACCAACACACCGCTGTGCCCAACTGCCAGCCCCGCTCAGCAGCACTCTGCAGGGCACAGCAAACAGGAGGTGAGGTGTGAGGAGCACCCTCTCCCTCCTCACCCCCAGAATGAACCCTCCTGAGGAGCAGTAAGGGCCAGAAAGCAGACACCATGTGGAGCTCAGCAGGGCAGATTCCCTCTGAGGCCATTCCTTGTATCCACGTGTGATCCAGGATGCGGAGAACTCCGTGCTGGCCGCATGCAAAGCGCAGGGTGGTTGCTCTCGAGAGGAGAAGCTTCTGGTGTAGCTGCCGCTTTCAGGAGAAGCGCAGTGGGACGGACATCCACAGCCAGCTGAATCCTCCTGGGATACCTGCACTTACCTGCGCCCACACAGAAGCGGAGGCCACGCACACACAGAAGCGGAGGCCGTATCCCGGAGAGCTCGCTCCTTACCTTATGTACACTTTTGGGATTTTCCAGCCACGCATAGTACATTTCCTCCACATAGTTTGAACTAGTCCCGCTCAGAAAGGGCTCGGCAGCCACCGGCGTGCTGTAGCACCGGATGGGGTGAAACGTCCTGGGTGCTGCCGGCCTCTGTTGGGAAATTGTCTTAACAGTCTGAGAGGCCGTCAGCGGCCTCAGCTTTGCTGCACAAGTCCTTAAGTTAAACATGTTTGTCCGACAGCCTCACACGAGTTCCTGTTGGAATAGAAACGAGAGGAGCTTTAGGAACGGGACAAGGCAGCGGAGCTCCCTCACCCCAACACGAGGTTCAGGAGCGAGCGACCACCTTTGTCCGGGCGGCGCCCACCCCGCACAGCAGCCCGCAGCTTCACACCGCTTCATTTCCCATTCCCAACGCACTCAGCTGATGCAATGCAAGAGAGGAACAGAGAACTCCTCCCTGCAAGGAGCTGCCTGTGCCCTGCTCACACTGAGCCGCAGGCAGCAGAGCCCCGTGCCCATGGCGCACACTGAGACACCGTCGCATGGAATGAGAGCCCAGCACAGAAACGCTGGCTGCAGGAGCACGGCCGGTGCTGGGAGCTCCAGAATGCCACCCAAACGGGTGCCAAACCAGCCCAGAGCGGTGCTAGCAACTTGATTTATTTCTAACCAGCTGGGTTTTACTGCTGAATGCTGCACTGCCCTGTGCTCAGCTGACCCTGTCCTGTCAGGACACAGGAAAACACCCTCTGTGGGGTTTGCATAAGAGCTTTCTTCTTTGCTCCCCTTCCTACTACGAGGACCATGGCCGTGAGCAGAGCAAAGCGGCTCTTCCTCGACCCATTCTTGCTGCATTACTCACCCTGCCTCTGGCCTCCATCCATCTGACAAGGGCCGGGCTGGGGCAGCCCGCAGTGGGTCTCAGGGCAGCAGTGGGGGGACGGGGCTGTCCCCTACCGGTGGGGCACCTGCACGGTATTTGGGGCTGTGAATGCAGTGAGAGATCAGAGGTGACCGCAGCCCACCTTCAGTCACGGGGCACTGGGAAGAAGTGACTGCAGGAAGAGCTCTCCTGACGCCAGAACCACCTCCTCTCTCCCACGGCCCACTCAGACATGGGTTCCCAGGCAGACCCCTTCATCTCTTCCCCACTAACGCTGCCGACGAAGGCCAACAACACAGCCCTGGGGAACGAGCTGCGATAAGATCTCCTTGGGCTGCACTGACATGTAGGACGGTGCCACCTGGCCCTGTGCCTGCCCAGGGCCGTCACGGGGCTGGAGGTGACCCCACAGCAGCAAACCAAGCTTCCCAGCACTCTGGGGCTGGACTTGATGATCTTTAAGGTCTTTTTCAACCTGAGCAGTTCAGTGATTCTACAATGGGAGGGGAACGTGGTCCCCTTACTGCTGTGTCACCAGCTGGGCTTCCCTATTTGCTTTGCTGTTTCAGTTTTCGTCCCCCAGCACTGCAGCAGCTCCAACTCCCCCCTCTAAGCTCAGGATTTTGGTGCAGTGTTTGGGTCGATGCTTCCAGACCTCCTGAGAGCTGCAGCTGCAAGCAGGGGATGGCAGCACAGCATTCCTGGGCCTTGACTCATGGCAGGTATTAAGGGCAGAGATCTTTGCTCCACAGAGTTGCCCGGGAGCAGAAGCAGAGATTCACCACCCCAACGTTTAAACCACAAAATGTGTGGGGAGAGTTCTGAGCCGACCGAACCGTGTGGGAAAAAAAGCACTGGGACAAAAGCATCAGCAGCAGTGTCCAATTTCAGCTCTGCCAGTCGGCAGCATCTCAGCACTGCAAAACAGAGGTGTTACTGATGGGGGTCAGCCCCAAACGGGAGAACTGCAGGGAGCTGAGGGCAGCGGGGCATAAACACAGCACACAGACACGGGCTGCTGTGGGACAGCAGCGGATCCACGGCCGCACTGCCAGCTCCTGCAAAGGTCAAACGCCAGGAATGCTCCCGCAGACCAAGGGCTGCTACGGGTGAGGGCGCAAAGCAGATTAAGGGCCTAAATGTGACCTCTGAAGCCAGAGCCACCGTGACCTGCTGCAAGAGAAGGTTAACTGGGAAACGCTTTGGGGTTTTAATCCTTAAAATCAAACGGCCACGGAAAGGATAACAATTAAACTCAGCTGGATCAGAGGGAAAGCCAGGCTGCCGGCTGCCGCACCGGCCCAGCTCTGTTTCCACCACCTGCGGGGTGTGAACGGGGCCGGCGGAGCGGCGCAGGCCCTGTCTGGGCCGGGTCACGGCACAGCACGGCGCCCGCCTGTCCCTCAGCCAGCAGAACGGGCCGGGACGGCGGCGCTGCGCCACGGGCGCGGGATCCCGACAGCACCCGCGGCAAAGCGGAGCGCGGGGAACCGAACCGAGGTCCCTTCACCAAGTCAGGGAGCGGCGCCGCTCCCGCATCAGGGCCTCCCGCAAATCCCGACCCGCAAACCTCGCAGCCCCGCTTCCGGTCCCGGGCCCCGCGCCCCCACGTGCGGCAGGTTGGCGGGCCCGGCCCCGCCCCCGCGCCCCGCCCGCCAATCGGCGCCCGCCTCCGCCGCGCGGGCTTCGCGCCCGTAACCACCAATCGGAGCGGCATTAGGCGCGCCGCCACCTCCCCATTGGCCGAATAGTGCTGCCCGTCCCCGAGGCGGCCACGCCCCCTCCCCCGCCCTGAGGCGCCCGGGCGGCGGCGCCAAGGACACGGCGAGCGGCCACCGCCCCCCGCCCCGCCGGACCCGGCCCACCCGGCCCCGTCGCCCCCCACCCGCCTCGGCCCGGTCCGGCCCGACCCCGCCCCGCTGTCCCCGGTCCGGTACCTGCCGGCCCGCCCGTGCTCCCCGCTCACGGCCCCGACTCTGACAGCGGCCCCCAACCGCCGGCTGCCGCCCAGCGTCGCCCCGCCCCTCTCTTACGTCACCGCGTCGCCCCGCCCCACACCAAACCACGCCTCCAATACTAAACCACGCCTCTACAAATAAGCCACGCCCATTGTAAGCTACGCTCCTGGTTGAGCTGTGCCCAGCCGCGCATGCGCGCTGCTCGGAGCTTCCGCAGCCGCGGAGGGGGCGGCAAAGCGGAGGCAGAGCGGGGCGTGGGGCGCGGGGATCCGCGGCACTTCCACCCCCTTCCCCGGGTTGGGGCATCCGGGAGTGCGGGGCTTCCGCCTTCGGGGCGTGCTGTGCGGCGGGACAGCGCCACGTCGTGAGGATGTCTAAAATGGGGACATCTGTCCATAGGGACATCCATCCATAGAGACCTTCACCGCGGTGTGGGGACATCCGCCGTGGGGACAATCTGGCATGGGGTCACCCACCTCGAGGGGCAGCCGCGGGGATATCCACGGTGGAGACACCTGCTGTGGTGTGGGGACATCTGCTGCCATGCAACCACAGGGATCTCCAGTACAGTGGGGCACGTCTGTTATGGGATCATTGCCCACAGGGACACCCACAGTGAGGAAATCCAGCATGGGGACATCCTGGGAACAGAGACGTCCTGGTGGGAGGAGAGATGTGCTCATGGGGTGCATAGACATCCGCGTGTGACATGGCGGCACAGGGACGGGTCCAGGCCTGAGTCACGTCCTGTGGGGTCAGTGACACCACTTGGGAAGTGAGACAGCCGCGGGAAAACACACAGCCACCCCACACATGCACATCCCCGGCCAACGTGGCGCAACCGCGTGGGAGCCGGCAGGGCGGCCGTGGGCATCCTGTAGGACAGCAGTGGGACGTGGGGCCTGGGCGACAGAAAGACCAAGAGGACAGCATCCCAAAGGCAGCAATCAGAGAGTGGGATGTGTGGGGTCCCTGTGGCTGCCGGCAGGAAGCAGAGGAGCTGGGTGGGGAAATGGGACAGTTGGCAGTGCTTGCATCACTGGCCCCTTCTGGGGAATCCGGCCTTGCTGCAGCCCTGACGAGAGCTGCCGTCATCCGGGGCATTGGTGGCCATGGGGCAGCCCCAGTGTGTCAGCCCAGCCAGCACACGAGAGCCAGACCCCAAACATTGCCTCACTCTGTGCACCACAATGGCCCCAAAGCACTGCTCTGCTGGGCCCCATGCTGATCCCAAAGCATCACCCCGCTGGGCCCCACAAGGATCCCAAAGCACCACCCTGCTGGGCCCCACATTCATCCCAAAGCACCGCCCTGCTGGGCCCCACATTCATCCCAAAGCACCGCCCCGCTGGGGCCCCACACCGATCGCAAAGCACAGCCCTGCTGTGTGGTCCACACTGACTCTGAAGTGTGGCCCAACTGAGACCCATGTTGACCCCAAAGCATCATCCTGCAGACACCATGCTGACCCCAAAGCATGGGCGAAAAGCATGCTCTGATCTCTACAATAAGCATGGCTCCATTGCATTCCATATCAACCCCAATTCATGGCCCCACTGCAGCCCATACTGACCCCAAATCATGACACCACTGAGTCTCATACTAACCCCAAAACTTGGCCCCACTAAGCCCCAAAGCACAGGCACAAAGCTCGCTCTGAGATCTGCTGGCAAAGCACGGCCCCGCTGAGCCCCGCAGTGCCCTGCACAACACAGCAGAGGTGGTGCCGATGCCCGCGGCGCTGTGTGCTGCAGATACGAAACTCAGCAACCGTTGCGAAACATGGAAATCCCGCACGGCAGCCGCTTCCTTCCAGCGCTCCTTGAAAACGCGTCGCTCAGCAGCCGAGCTCAGAGCACCCTGAAGGCAGCGGGAGGAGCAGAAGCACAGCACTGCAGCCTGCCTTCACCCTCAGGTTTCACACTGGGCACAGAGATGGCGTTTGTTCCCGACCTGGACGCGCCGGAGAGCAGCAGGTGAGCACTGAGAGGGGCTGGGGGCTCACTGTGGGTCTGAGCTTCACGTGGCCCAAAGCTCACCATTCACTTTGCCTTCCAGCCTCAGCGAGGAGACTTTCTACGGCCCCTCCTGCCTCTGCCTTCAGAAGGTACGGATGGCAGAGTGCGGTGGCTCGGTGGCACGGTGCCCTGGCAGCGCACAGTGCTCAGCCGCAGCCCTCTGCCTGCAGAAGCCTCACCTGGATTCTGAGCACACGGCTGTGGGTGTGCAGGTGTCAGTGAGAAAGGGACGCCGGAGCTTCCGGCAGGCTGCCGTGCTGGTGGTGGCCATGACCAAACTGCTGCGGAGGCCAAAGCACAGGGACTTTGCTGACAGCGACTTGAGCGTGCTCCTGGAGGAGGTTTTTGGTAAGAGCGCGGCGCTGGAGGAGGAGGAGGGATGGTTGCTGGGGTGTTGTTGCCACCTGCTGACCTCCTGTCCCCCACAGAGCCCGTCACCTTCCAGCGGCTGCAGAGCAGCTACGCCGGGGTGCCCGCCTTCCGCTACACCCGCTCGCAGTCCTTTGACATCTTCGACATCAACCAGAAGTGCTTCGTGCTGGAGTCGCCCACACAGCTGGTGGCCTTGCACCTCCAGGGGCCCTCCTCCAGCCAGAAAGGTGAGGGCACCGCATCCTTGTCCCTGCCCTTCCCCCTACCCCTATCCCTACCCCCGCAGCATGCCAGCTGACCCGTCCCTTCTCCCCGCAGTGAGGCTCAACATTGCGCTATATCGGCCCCGAGGCCCACGGGGCAGCGCTGGAGCTGGGCAGACACCAGTGGCACTGGGCATCAAGGGCTACAAGCTCTACATGTCGTGCGTGCTGAGCGGCGCCGAGCCCACGCTGCAGCTGGAGGTGAGCATCCCACGTCCCCATCCCATCCCCACTTCCCCACCCGGCGGCCCCCGCCCCCCACTGAACCTCTCCGGGTCTGCATTGCAGGAAGCCGACGTCACGCGGGACATCGACAGCGCCGAGCTGACCCGCTTCATCTTCTACCGCCTGGACAGCCCGGCCGAGGGCACCACGCGCTTCGAGTCGGCCGCCTTCCCTGGTTGGTTCATCTGCACCTCCCTGCAGCCCCGGCAGCCCGTGGGCATCACCAACCGACCCGACCAGGTCAACGTTGCCACCTACAAGCTGAGCGGGCACTGACTGCCCACCCCAACCCAAACCGGCCCGTTGCTGGTTTCCATGCTGTATGTACCGAGTACAAGCCCTGCTGCCCTGCCACGCTGTTCCACGTGGAATAGCCGCTCTGGGCCCCGTGGGCCCGAGTCACACATTGTTTATGTTTCGTTACCGTCCTGTTGCTTTTAACTTATATTTTTTTACCGTAATTATGATGGATTTTGTTTCACCCCCCCTTCTTGGGGTGAAGGTATTTATTGTGAGATTGGAGAAATAAAAGCTTCCCTGTGGACGCGTGTCTCAGCGTGTGCCTCTGGGGATCGGTGGGGCGGTTCTGGCCGGAGGAGAAGCATTCCCGCAGCAGGCAGCAGAGCAGGACCCGGCGCCCCACACCCAGGCCGCCTCCCGCGGCAAAGACTGGGGCCCGCCGCACCCCTCAGAACCCCCAACGCCCCCCTCTGAGCCCCGTATCTCTCCTTAAGAGCCCCCTCTCAAAGCCCCCCCTCCGCAGCCCCTCTTAGAGACCCCGCACCCCCCCACACCGCACCGACTTCCTCTCACGCCCCTCTCAGTCCCCCGGCGCCGCCGCCCCGCTCCTCTCCACCACACCCGCCTTCTCACACAAACGAATGCGATTGGCGGACGCGTCCTTCCGGCCCCACCCGTGGCTCCGTTGTACCCGCCCCTTCCGCTCGCTTCGCCCAATCGCAGCTCATCGTCTCCGCCCCGCCCCCCTCATCGTTCTTCTCCATTGGGCGGTTTGAAAGAGGCGGAGGCCAATGGGCGTGGGGCGGCGGTTGGGCGGGTTGTGGAGATGGCGGCGGCTGCGCAAGGTGAGTGCTGGGAGCGGGGATCTGAGCCCGGCAGCGGGGCCGGAATCAGACGCGGGGGGTGCGGGGAGCCTGGGCCGGCTGCGGGTCCGAGTCTTTGTGGAGGCGACTTGTGGGGTGACCGCGAAAGGAAGGAGCTGGAAGTAGCGGTCCTTGAGAGCAGCCCTGCAGAGAAGGAGCCGGGGGTGAAAAGCTGAGCGTGAGCCAGCAGTGTGCGACTGCAGCTGGGAAACAAACGGGATCCTGGGCTCCAGCAGAACGGGGGGGTGGCAGCAGGGACAGGGGGGCGATTGTCCCCCTCTGCTCTGCTCCTGTGAGGCCCCATCTGCAGCACTGCGTCCAGGGCTGGAGCCCCCAGGACGAGAAGGACAGGGAGCTGTTGCAGAGGGTCCAGAGGAGCCACAGAGATGAGCAGGGGGCTGGAGCGGCTCCCTTACGAAGACAGGCTGAGGGAGCTGGGCTTGTTCAGCATGGAGAAGAGAAGGCTGCGGGGTGACCTCAGTGCAGCCTGCAGTGCCTGAAGGGAGCCTGCAGGCAGGAGGGGAGTCAGCTCTGTGCAAGGGGAGATGGCAGCAGGACGAGGGGAAACGGTTTGGAGTTGAGGGAGGGCAGATGGAGGTTGGATGTCAGGAGGAAGTTCTTTACTATGAGAGTGGTGAGGTACTGGAACAGCTGCCCAGAGAGGCTGTGATGCCCCGTCCATCCCTGGAGGTGTTCAAGGCCAGGTTGGATGGGGCCCTGGGCAGCCTGGGCTGCTGTGAAATGTGGAGGTTGGTGGCCCTGCGTGTGGTGGGGGGTTGGAGGTTCATGATCCTTGAGGTCCTTTCCAACCCAACCGTTCTGTGATTCTGTGAAATGGGGTTGGGGGCAGTGCTGGGGGCTGCGGAGGCAGGAAGGGATGCGGTGTTGGGGAGCGCTGGGCTGGGCTGGGTGCACCCAGAGCCCCCAGTGGTCACTGAGTTGGGCCTTACTGCCCTGTGTGAAAGCAGAAATAGGGAGAGCGAGTCTTTGGGTGATGTGATAGGGATAGGACGAGGGGGAACGGAGCTGGGATGGGACGGGCAGCCTGGGGAAGCTGTGGCCGCCCCGTTGCTGCTGGTGCTCGTAGGCAGCACCTCCTACAGGCCGTCCCATGGGCCTGCAAAGCTCCGCACGACTGCACCCTGGGCAGCTTGGTGCTGCAAGCATCAAACAGTTCTTGTTCCAGCGGGCTGCGGGCAGCGCCTCGTGTGTGCTGGGGGTCTGGGAGCAGCACTGCGCTCCAGCTGGGAGCTCGGTGATGTGCTCGTCCCCACAGGGCTGCGTGCACCATGTTTTCCTACCGTTTCTTTGCAGAAGAGCGGAGAAGAAAGCTCCAGGAGTACCTGGAGGCCAAAAGGAAGCTGAAATGCCCCAGTACCAAGTAAGTTGAGGTGTGCAGCTGTCTCTGCGTTCTGCCTTGCTGCAGTGCTTGCTAACGAGAGCAGCCTCGGCCCCGTGCCAGCTGTCAGAGCTGAGGCTGGGGCAGCTCCTGCAGTGCCCTGGCGCTGCTCTGCTGTTACTGGCAGCGTCAGAACAGATGTGGTTTGAGTGTTGACGTTTCCTGCTCTTTAATACCACGTCTGCTGGGTGTCTTCTGAATCTCCACGAAGCTTTTTCATCCCAGGCTTTGGGTTTGCAGGACAGCTTTGTTTGCATTACCAGCTTTGTGCAGCAGAAAGCAGTCCAATTTTGAGTGCTGCATTTTAGCAGCCCTTAGCAGTAGGGTAATATTAGGAAGGGACATTTCAGCCCGTTTAGAAGCAGTCAGAGAGAAGCTCATTGCCACAGCTGACCTGTTAAGTGAGCCCCATCACGTCCTGCCCAGCCCCATCAGCTGCAGGAAGCGCTTTGATCTCTTTTCTCGTCAGTGGAAGCTGTGAGTTATGCAACTGTCTTTTGTGTCACTTTTCCATTGCCCCACGGAAGGAAAAGAAATATGACGTGGTTCTTCCTTGACAGCTTCAAAATGCTTCTCATCAGCTCTGGTGGCTGTGGCAACCAGAAGCACTTGGTGTATTTCAGCTTTTCTGGAACAGCTGCTCAGTATTTGGGTAACTTGTTTCTGCAGGACCTATTTAAAGGACCGGACTAATCGCCTGGATCCACTCTTAAAACCAGTTTCTAAACCAGAACATGTAAGTAGAAGAGAACTCTTTTCAGTCTGGTTTTATATCTCATGCTTGAAGTGCTCCCAGGCAGAACGGGGCACGCAAACCAGGACAGTGAGTTCCTGACCTTGGGCAAGCAGTAATCAACGCCCTGCTAAATATCTGGCCCCAAGACAACTAATTAGTTTTCAGAGGAACTTCAGCTGAGAGAATTGTCCTCTGCCCTGGTGCTGGGTGTTACACTGGGCTTGCTTCTCCCTGCAGGGCTCTGTGCACATCCCCTGGGCTGGTGGGGCTGCGGGGTGGGACGGAGCCGAGCTCTGCTCAGGGCCCTGCCTCAGCTTCTTTGTCTCTGCAGCTTGACAGGAACAAGAAGGGTGCAGTCCAAAACGTAGCAAAGGGCACCTGGAAGGATGACAAGCCTGCTGCCAAACCTGCACAGCCAGCTGGGCACGCTGCACTGCGGCAGTCCTCACGTGCATCGCAGAGAGCAGCAGCGATGTGGCCACGGCAGCTGGGGAAGGGCACAGAGCTGCCTGCAGGCCTCGTTCCGAGCACAAACCCCTCTGCGCAGCCCAAAGGGAGGCTCCCAGCTTCTGCCTCTTGTCTGCTAAACCCTGGAAGGCCGGAGAAGAGTGGAAATGGCCAGCCTGTGCCCGGGGCACCTTGCTCCCTGAATGAGGGCCTGCAGGAGTGGCTTAGCTGTGGCAAAGAGAACTTGCCAGCACAAGCAGCTGCAAACCCTGTGCCCAGCAACACTTTTCAGTCTAATGGGAACAGTCTGGGGAAAAAGAGAGCTTTGGCTCATGGGCAGAGCTCAGGCACTGTGTCAAGGACTGTCAAGGGCCCAAAGGACAGAATTAATAGCTGCCAGGCTAAGGAAGTGCTGATTCAGGAGAAATTCAGGAAACCCCTGCCAGCCTCAAAAAGTGCATCCCAAAAACCAAGCGGCACAACTCGGCCGTTGCAACCCCCTCAGTTCCTTGCTAATTCTACGTGTTTGCTACATAAAATGCCAGCTGTAAAACAGGAAAAAAACAATGCAGCAAGGGAACCTGGGGGAAAGCTCGGCACGTCTCTGATGGGAACTCTTAAGCACTCCAACAGAGCTCCTGCAAAGCCCCCGGCCTCCAGCCGGCCCCAGGGCACCACAAGTGGGACCACGAGGACACCAGGCCTGAAGCTGCGCACCACAGGGCAGTGGCAACGACCCACAGTGAAAGGGGGAGCAGACAGGAAGGATGTGAAGGCAGCGCCTTGCGGACACACAGCAGTATCCCGAGCGGGAGTCCCAAAAAAACAGTCTCTTCCCAGCACCTACAGCTCCAGAACTCAAGGAAATCGGGGTGAATTTGGGAGCAGCAGGGAGGTGCGTAAACCAGAGCTGCTGCAGGCGCACGGAGTGCATGCTGGGCGTGTTCCCAAGAGCCCAACACCAGAGGATCGTAGGTGAGTGGCATCGTTGGCTGACTGCTCTCCCACCCAGGGGAAGCAGAGTGAGGCACTGAAGCACATGAGCCAGGTGCAGGCTGCAGGGCCCCAGCTGCAGTCTGAACTGCTGGGATGCTGCAGCACAGAGGGGGGTGAGGATGAAGTTCGGTGTCCTCTGGGTTCCTCGTTTCTGCCACGCGACAACTGCCTGCAGGCAGCAGTGAGTGAGTAGTGTGTGAAGCACAGCCTTGCTGCTTTGTGCTGCCTCTCCCATTTTATCCTCGGGACACTCTGACATTTGGGAGGGTTTGCCTCCCCTGCCTGCCTCGGTTGTGATTCTTAGGGTAGATCTTCCCAAGCAGCTACAAACCCAGAGGGCAGCCGGGCAGCAGGTGCCAGTGGTGTGTGGTGCTGACAGCGATCCCTCGGTCCTTTCCCAGGAGACAGCTGGAGCAGTGGCTGGCCTCCAAGGGCAAGTGCTACAAACGGCCGCCTATGACGCTGCCTCCAAAAAAGCCGATGAAGCAGAAGCCAGCCCACAGGAGCACCGTGCAGGAGGAGCAAAAGCCTGAGAAGCCGGAGCAGCTCTACCTGGCCAGGATCAATGCCCTGCTGACGGAGTGCCTGAAGCTCATCGAGGAGGTGGGGATGGGGAAGGAGCTACGGCCACCAGGCTGCTCTTTTCTTGAAGCAAAGCATTCTTGCTTGGCTTAGGAAAAGTCACCACGCTCAGTTCACCCCTGGAGTTGAGGGCATGCAGTGAGATGCACTGCAAGGAACACGGGTCGATGGCCGCTGTGCAGGCGTCCCTGCGGTCGTCCTGGTGTGCAGCAGTGCATCTTGCAGCAGGGATTCCTGCAGCAGCAGCCCAGGCTGGTTGAACCACTCCAGGATA